CACCATTGCACTCCAGCCTAGGCGACAGAGTGAGATTTTGTCTCAAAAACAAAAACAAAATCTTGTCAAGCAGACCACAGGCCTGCTGCCTGGCCAGCCCATCTACCCAAATAACTAGTTCAGCTCAAAACCTGTCTTTGTGGTTTCCTCAACTTACCATGATATTTCTAAAGTCCCATCTTCAAAAGCTATCCCCAAAGCAGGATTTGGGGTTGGCAAGAGCAAATATAAAAAACAACCTATCATCCTCTTCTCCTGCTCTCTCCTGGTTCTTTTCCCAACACCTGAGACTAAAAGACACGGGGCTGACTCCCCTTCCTTCAGCCACCGAGTGTCAAGGCTCCTGACCAAGCTGTCATTGCTGGAAGCAGCAGGTTCTCGGCAGGAGAAATCTAAGCCCTGAGTATTCCAGTCTTCATTCTTATTATGTTCAAGGAGGAGCTAAAGACATTTTTAAATCCCTTCAAGAGAATAGTCTGACTTCAGAAGGCTCTCATTATTTTATAGGAAAGACCCTATTAGGATTGTCAAAATTGAATACGAATGTCAAACTTTTCTCCTGCAATAATCCTATTCTCTCCAAGACAGATGGATGCTTTAGACTAATAAGGGAGATGGTAACCTATTTAAAAGAAGAAGAAAAAAAACTTTCCACCCCTAAAAAACCATCTCAATTAGTACAGCTTTTAAATATATTTGCTATGGTTTGAATGTGTCTCCCAAAAAGCAAGTATTGGAAACTTAATCCCCAAAACAACAGTGTTGCGGGGTGTGGCTGACGGGAGGTGGTTCGGTCACGAGGGCTCCACCCTCTTGTTATAAGTAGAATTTTCGATGCCGCAAAAGAAGTAGCACTTCAATATAAACTTCCTCAGCGAGGCAATTTACTTCTATAGAAGGGTGCGGCTCACAGATTGAACAACGGTGAGTGCACATCTGGACAAGGAGGGGAGGGGTACTTATGCCTGACGGAGGTCATCCCCACTGCTGTCATTCCCCTATTGGCTAGGGTTAGGCAGCACAGTCTAGTCTAATTCCGATTGGCTATTTTAAAGGGAGGAGGGGTATGAACCACAGTGGCAGGATGGGTAGTTTGGCGGGAAGGATGGTTACGAGCAGGTAAGCAGGGGTCAAAGCAGGTGACTGGGGCAGGTGACCGGGATGAGTTAGGATGGGGCAGGAGATTGGGGGAACAGATGTGAACTACTGATTAGAACTGGTGAAAAAGGCTGTTTACTGAAACTACAAGGAAGTTAAACTTTAAAATGGAGGATTAAAGACTAAGAGAGCTGAACATACACAGTGTTTATTTGCAGAGAAACTTGGGGTTCACTATATCTAACATTCTGAATGGATTAAGGCTGATGATAAAAGGGCTTGAGGCTATGAGTCCAACCTCTTGCTCGCCCACTCTTTTTGGCTCTTCCATCATGGGATGACACAGCAAGAAGGACCTCACCAAGTGATGATCCCTCTATCTTAGACTTCCCAGCCCCCAGAACCATGAGCCAATAAATTGGTTGCATATTAATTACCCAGTCTCCAGTATTCTGTTACAGAAGCACAAAACAGGCTAAGGCAATATTATAATCCTATTGCCACTGCTCTTTAGCTCTGTACAGCAGCTCATCTGAACAAGAGCAGGATGCTAAGTCACAGGATACAACGTACTGGCCATCCACCCTGTCCCAGGCAGTGTGTTGTGGACTTTACACGAATTATACTCAAGCATTACAAAAACGCTAAAGAAACTGTTTTTCTATTTCCATTTTACAAATAAAAAAGGAAGTTTAAAAATATTAAGGAATGATGCCAATGTCAGAGATCTAACAGGTGGTGGAAATGAATTCGGTCCAATATTTACTGCGGGCTTGCTGCTCAGGCTCACTTCAGGTTTCTGCTCCCTGTATTCTGGTGCAGTGTCTCTTGGCTACCCTAGCTATGGCTCCAGTGGCCCAGATCTAGCTCAGGCAGCCCTTCCAGAAGGTGTACGTGGCAAATTTTGGTGACACCTGCATGATTCCAACTCTGCATGTACATACATTGCAAAAGCTGTGGAGGAATAGCTACCTCCAGAGAGATTTCAAAGGATTCCTTGGAGAGCCTTGTGGACCAAGAAGAGAACTGCCACAGGGGCAGAGGCACTGCAAAGAGTTCCCAATAGGACAATGATTTGGGGAGCCATGAAGGCAGGGTCGCCCTGAGACCTCAGAATTGTAAATCCAGTATGCAACACCAGCCTCGGGGAGCCACAGACACCCGAGAGCTGTCACGTGGGCTACACTCAGCTAAACTATGGGGCAGGGCCACACAAGACCTTTGGGGTCCAGTGCCCATCCCAGTGTGTCCAGAAGGCAGGACATGAAGTCAAAGAAGATGATTCTCAAGCCTGAAGATTGAATCTTGTTTGCCTTGTCGGGTTTTAGACTTTCTTGGGCCCTGTTACCCCTTTCTTGCATATTTCTCCTTTTTGGAATGGGAATGCCCATCCAACGCCTGTCTCACCATTGTACTTGGGAAGTATACAACTTGTCTGATTTCACAGGTTCAGACCAGTAGTCTCAGACCCAAGGTTTTTCCATTACTCTAGTTTCTCAAGCAATTGAGGGTAGAGAGTTACGACATGCCTCACTTCACCCCTCTCCCTGCCAAAAAAGTCACTATTATCTCTCCGAAGTATGAAAATGTATAAAATTAGACCTGCCATTGTTCATAAAGACAGAAGTTCTTTCTGTCAAGCTGATATTTAATAATTGTTTGACTAATGTAAATCAGTTTTGGCTTCTTTCTTCCAAGGAATAATATACTATAACATAGAGCATGCTAGAGTGTTACAATAAAGATACGTACTTGGTAAAATTCATCACAGAAATGCATGAAGCAATTAAGCGTGAGGGGCAGAAGGAGAAAGGGGAGGAAGAGATAGTGACAAAATGCTGAGCAAGAAAAGGCACAGGAGGTACGACTGCATGCAACCAACGATAAGGAGAAACACTTGATCTTAGCTAAAATGAAAAAAAAAGGAGCAGCTGTGGCAACTCATGCCTGTAATCCCAGCACTTTGGGAGGCTGAGGCAGGTGGATCACTTGAGGCCAGGAGTTCGAAGTCAGCCTGGCCAACATGGTGAAACCCCACCTCTACTAAAAATACAAAAATTAGCTGGGCATGGTGGCGGGCACCTGTAATTCCAGCTACTTGGGAGAATGAAGCAAAAGAATCGCTTGAACCCAGGAGGCAGAGGCTGCAGTGAGCCAAGATCGCACCACTGCACTCTAGCCTGGATGACAGAGTAAGACTCTGTCTCAAAAAAAAAGACCCCAGTTTACATGTAAGCCCAGCAAACTTTCCCATGTGCTAAAACTCACCACCCTTTACTCCACTAATGCCATTATCAACCCCCATTTCACACCCAGGCTATGACTGAGAAAATCTACGACTTGTCTGAGCAGGATGGTATCCTGTTGGTAAATGTCACTATTACCCTTGAAAGACAGGGCCCTGGCGGGGAGATCAGTGTTACAGGTTGAGCAAAAGCCAAAGGAACTTGGTTGCCCCAAAAATCAAATATGCTCCTTTCGTCTTTATGACTTCAACTCCTCTCAATCTTTTGGTGACTTAACCAGGGACTGCTTGGAAAACCAAATGTAGAGGCTGAAAGTGGGAAACCTGGGAATTTAGAATGTGATCGTTTGCCTTTGCTTCAAACTTTGGGACAATTTGACTAGGAAGGTTGCAAACTGCGGAACATCATGTATGAAAATAAAAACTAGTGTTTAGTTACCTTGAAAAGAAAGGGAATATGGACCACCCAGGTCAATCATGTGTCAAAGACTTGAGACTCAAAAACCAGGGGTTTTACAGTTATTGATCACAGAGGAAATTTAAAGACATCATTTTAAAGCAAACTAGCAACACGTGTATACTGGGCAGACAACTAACTCAGATGACCCCAGAAGCCCTTCAGCCTCAATAGTTTTACTGTTTTATGGCAACATGCACACTTACCATTGGAGGGTGTGCATTCTGGGGCTGGGTGGGCTGGGTGGAGATAGTAGAGAAGGATTTCAATGTCATCCCTTCTGGATCCATGCTTTTGCTCAGCATCAGCTAAGCATCTCATTCTAAGTAGAGACTACTTGTTTGACACTTTCCAATATCACCAGATGTCATATGAGTCCAATCACTAAGTGCTCCTCAAAGACTAAATTGTGCCCATGTGGCTAAAAGTATACCCTAGTTGTCCAAGCACGGTGGCTCACACCTGTAATCCCAGCACTTTGGGGGGCCAAGGCAGGTGGATCACTTGAGGCCAGGAGTTCAAAACCAGCCTGGTCAATATGGTAAGACCCAGTGTCTACCAAAAACTACAAAAATTAGCTGGCACAGTGGCTCATGCCTTTTGAAACAAGTTTCGCTCTTGTCACCCAGGCTGGAGTGCAGTGGTGCGATCTTGGCTCACTGCAACTTCCGCCCCCTGGGTTCAAGTGATTCTTCTGTCTCAGCCTCCCAAGTAGCTGGGACTATAGGCACGCGCCACCACACCCAGCTAATTTTTGTATTTTTAGTAGAGACAAGGTTTCACCATGTTGGCCAGGCTGGTCTTAAACTCCTGACATCATGATCCGTCCACCTCGGTCTCCCAAAGTGCTGGGATTACAAGCATGAGCCACTGCGCCTGGCCAATTTTTTTTGAGACAGAGTCTCACTCTGTCACCCAGACTGGAGTTCAGTGTCATGATCTCAGCTCACTGCAACCTCCATCTCCAAGATTCAAGCAATTCTCCTGCCTCAGCCTCCCAAGTAGCTGGGATTACAGGCATGCACCACACCCAGACAAATTTTGTATTTTTAGTGGAGATGGGGTTTCACTATGTTAGCCAGGCTGGTCTTGAACTCCTGACCTCAGGTGATCTACCCTCCTCAGCCTCCCAAAGTGCGAGGATAATAGACATGAGCCACGGTACCCAGCCTAATTTTGTCTTTATATAATTTTTTCAACTTTTTTAAGTTGAAAAACCATTTATTTCACTGGAAAGAAAAAAAGTGACCCAACTCTGTAGGTCTAGCCTTTAAACCAAAAAGAGACCCAGGGGCAGTGAGACTCTCACCAAGATCAATCCCAAATCCAACAGTGGCAGGAGGTGGGGAGGAGACAGCACAGGCCCCCACCACAGTTTCTGCACACAATGAGGCCTGCTGGAAGAACAGAACATGAGTGGGAAGCTACAGAAGTGCTGAAGGACAGAAGAACAGGAAAAGGGGCAGGAAAGGAAAGAAAAGAAAGAGAAGGTCTGAACTTAGTACGGTAAATTAAGGTCCACGGTTCCTGAGGGGCTGAACGCACAGAGCCAAGAACTTCCCAGAGACTGGGTACCATGAAGGGTGTATTCTCATGCACAACCGCAGCTCGGAATTTCAGCCCACACACATCCCACCTTAAAACTCTGTGTTATCAAGGCCCCTGATGGCCTCCGCTGCATCCTCCGCCTGCTCCACGTGTACGAAGGCATAATCTTTCACGATGGCACATTCGACAACCAGACCACACTCCTCAAACTGGGCTGTAGGCTCCTCCTTGGTGCAGGTGGGACTGATGCTGCCTACATGCAACTTGGTTGAGGCTTTGCTGTTATTCTCGCTAGCTTCCACGTAGATGTTCACCCCATGAAGCTTGTAATGGTGTAGGTTGCACATGGCATCTTCTGCTGCAGTTTTGTCTTCTATGCGCACAAAGCCATAATTCTTTTTTTTTTTTTTTTTTTTTTTTTTTTGAGATGGAGTCTTGCTCTGTCACCAAGGCTGGAGTGCAATGGTGCAATCTCGGCTCACTGCAACTCCTCCCGAGTTAAAGAGAGTCTCCTGCCTCAGTCTCCTGAGTAGCTGGGATTACAGGCGCCCGCCACCACACCTGACTAACTTTTGTATTTTTAGTAGAGACAGGGTTTTACCATGTTGGACAGGCTGGTCTCAAACTCCTGACCTCGTGATCCACCTCGGCCTCCCAAAGTGCTAGAATTACAGGCGTGAGCCACTGCACCGGCAAAGCCATAATTCTTAATGATGTCACATTCCAGCACCTTCCCATACTGCTTGAAGAATGAGCTCTGTGACTCCCGGGGCAGGTTTCTGATCAACAGCTTTACCATCCTGACAACAGCCCACACGGAAATCGGCAGGTCCTCCTCCTTGCAGTGTGTATGCTTCTGGCAAAACGCTAAAATCGCAGCCAATTTTTTTCAGCTTTTAGATTCAAGAGGTACATGTACGTGATGCTGAAGTTTAGGGTATGAATGTTCTCGTTACCTAGGTACTGAGCATAGTACCCAACAGTTTTTCAATCTTTGCCCCCCTTCCTCCTTCTCCCCTCTAGTGGTCCCCAGTGTCTACTGTTGCCATCTTTATGTCCCTGCTACCCCATGTGCAGTTCCCACTTATAAGAGAGAACATGCAGTATCTGTGCATTAATTCTAATTCACTTAGGATAATGGCCTCCAGCTGCAGCTAAATTCATATTGCTGCAGAGGACATGATCTTCTTATTTTTTATGGCTGTATAGTATTCCATGGTATATATATACCACATTTTCTTTATCTAATCTGCCACTGATAGGCACCTGGATTGATTCCATGTCTTTGCTCTTATGAACAGTGCTATGATGAACATGCAAGTGCATTTCATGTCTTTTTCTTCCTTTCCAGCATCACTCCCCCTCACTCTTGCTTCCCTAGCACTGTACCCACAATGGAGCTCGAACCATCCTGGCTAAGACAGAGAGAGCTGAAGCATCAGTCACAGAGCAGGGGCTCAGTTAAAATAACAAACAAAAAACAAAGCAGACTGCCAGCTTTCAAGACATTCTTACTGAAGAAAAAAAAAACATATAAATGCCCCTGGATATTTTTCTCTAGATTTACTGATTAAATGGCTTCATCAGTTTACAAAGGAATCCGAAGGCAGGGCACGGTGGCTCACACCTGTAATCCCAGCACTGTGGGAGGCTAAGGCAGGTGGATCACTTGAGGTCAAGAGTTTAAGACCAGCCTGGCCAACAGTGTGAAACCCCATGTCTATTAAAAATACAAAAATTAGCTGGGCATGGTGGCACATGCCTATAGTCCCAGCTACTTGGGAGGCTGAGGCAAGAGAATCACTTGAACCAGGAGGCGGAGGTTGCAGTGAGCCAAGATGGTACCACTGCACTCCAGTCTGGGTGACAGAGCAAGATTCCATCTCAAAAAAAAAAAAAGGAGTCTGAGGAATTTGTATTTACATTTTTAGATATAAAGTTTGGGGCTGTGAATTATATGACTGCCTACCAATTGCACACTTAAATTGTTTCACTGGTCCTCACATGCAATCGAAATATATAGTTATCAGTGATTTGGATGTCTAATTTAGATGCCTGTACTCAGGAAGGTAAAATATGTAGATGTCAATTACTATAAGGATTAAATATTTATATGCCTGTGAAAGCAAAATACTTTGTGATCAATAATTTACCGACATTTTTATACCCATCAGGAAGGAAATGAATAACTGCATTTAGGTTTTTTATGCATCAAGTTGTGTTAAATTGATAACATGAGGTTGAACAGTGTCTGAAAACTCAAGGGGCTAAATAAATAATCACAGTTAATTCTTCTTTTATATATAAACACACACACCTGAATATATGAAAACAGATACCATTAAGCCATCAGCAAGACAGATGCTGGCCAGATACAGTGGCTCATGCCTGTAATCCTAGCACTGCAGGAGGCCAAGGTAGGAGGATCGTTTGAGCCCAGCCTGAGTTCAAGACCAACCTGGGCAACATAGGGAGACCCTGTCTCTACAAAAAAAAATTAAAAATTAGCCAGGTGTGGTGGCGCATGCCTGTAGTCCCAGCCATGCACTCAGGAGACTGAGGCAGGAGGATTACTTAAGCCCAGGAGGCTGAGGCTGCAGTGAGCATTCTTTGCACCATTGCACTCCAGACTAGGCCACAGAGTAAGACCCCGTTCCTCTCCCACACTGTGTCCATTTTCACACTGCTGATAAAGACATACCAGAGTCTGGGTAATTTATAAAGAAAAAGAGTTTAATGGGACTTACAGGTTCACATGGCTGGGGAGGCCTCACAGTCATGGTGAAAGCTGAAAGACATGTCTTACGTGGTGGCAGACAAGAGAGAATGAGAGCCCTTATAAAATCATCAGATACAGTGCCAGGTGCAGTGGCTCACGCCTGTAATCCCAGCACTTTGGGAGGCTGAGGTGGGTGAATCACGAGGTCAAGAGTTTGAGACCAGCCTGGCCAACTTGGTGAAACCCTGTCTTTACTAAAAATACAAAAATTAGCCGGCCATGGTAGCAGACACCTGTAATCCCAGATACTCGGAAGGCTGAGGCAGGAGAATCGCTTGAAACAGGAAGGCAGAAGTTGCAGCGAGCCGAGATTGCGCCACTGCACTGCAGCCTGGGCAAAAGAGTGAAACTCCATCTCAAAAAAAAAAAAAAAACAAAACATCATCAGATCTCATGAGACTTATTCACTACCATGAGAATAGTCTGGGGAAACTGCTCCTGTGAGGCAATTATCTCCCACTGGGTCCTTTCCACAACATGTGGGAATTACGGGAGCCACAATTCAAGATGAGATTTGGGTGGGGACACAGCTAAGCCATATCAACTACAAAAAAAGACACCGACTCTGTCTTCAAATCACATCTCAAAGCTACCATTTCCCTCTCCTATGCATCTTACCTAATCCAGGGCACCAGCATTTGCAGTTACTGAATAGAAACTGTGTCTTACAGTTGTGAGTGGTGGCTCACACCTGTAATCTCAGCACTTTGGGAGGCCAAGGAAGGTGGATCACTTCAGGTCAGGAGTTTGAAACCAGCCTAGCCAACATGGTGAAACCCCATGTCTACTAAAAATACAAAAAATTAGCCGTGTGTGGTGGCACATGCCTGTAATCCCAGCTACTTGAGAAGCTGAGGCAAGAGACTCACTTGAACCCAGTAGGTAGAGGTTGCAGTGAGCTGAGATCGTGCCACTGCACTCCAGCCTGGGTGACCAAGAGAGGGAGGATGGGAGGGAGGGAGGACGGAAGGGAGGGAGGACAGGAGGGAGGGAGGAAGGGAGGGAGGGAGGACAGGAGGGAGGGAGGAAGGGAGGGAGGGAGGACAGGAGGGAGGGAGGACGGGAGGCAGAGAGGACGGGAAGGAGAGAGGGAGGGAGGGAGAGAGGGAGGGAGGGAGGAAGGAAGGAAGGAAGGAAGGAGGGAAACAGTGTCTTGCTTCCACATTCATATTCCAATCTGTTCTTCGTGGAGAAGTCAAAGGGATCTTTTTAAAGCATAAATCAGAACCAAATAAAATAAAAATCAGATCACATCATCCCTGCTTAAAGCCTCCTGATATTTTCCCATGGCACTTAAAATATATCCAAACTTCCCACTCTCTGATGAAACCCTGATGGCCTGGCTCCTGGCTCCCATTCAAATCTCATCTCACGCTGCCTCCTTTCTCCTCCTTCCACCTTCAAACTGCTTCCTCTTCAAGTCTTTGTCTCAAATGTTACGTCCTCAGAGAGGCCTCCCTGATCTCTCTGTCTGAAATCAAAATGCAGCAAAACCTGGTGGCTCATAACCTGTAATCCCAGCACTTTGAGAGGCTGAGGCAGGAGGATCACTTAAGCTCAGTAGTTCAAAACCAGCCTGGGTAACATACTGAGACCCTGTCTCTGTGAAAAATTGAAAATTAGCCAGGCGTGGCAGCAAGCACCTGTAGTCCTAGCTACGAAGGAGGCTGAGGCGGGAGGATTGCTTGAGGCTGGGAGGTCCAGGCTGCAGTGAGCTATGATCATGCCACAGCACTCCAGTCTGGGCAACAGAGAAAGACCCTGTCTCAAAAAATGAATTAATTAATTATTTAAAGTCAAAATACTCATCCCTATCTGATGGCATGCTGTGTACATATCTCATAAGCCCCATGAGGGCAGAGTCTGTTTGGTTTGCCACTATAACCCCCCACACCTAACCCATAATAGGTTTTTAGATGCCAGTTGTATAAATGAATAAAGAACAGACCCTAACAGTAGCAAGGGATACATCCTGAGACGCCCTCAAATTATCTCAAATCGCAACTATGATAGCATATGATTGCTTCAAAAAAACGGGGTCACATGAACCATTTCACACAGATGCAAACCATTTAGTCTAATGACTACAATTTAATCTATTTAAATTGCTATCTTCTGCCTAATAACTGCTGTTTTAAAACACTTGACTTTTGCCTTCATTTCCATTATCAGTACATGCAATTGACTGCCTTCTGAGGGGTCGTCTTTTACGCTAGTAAACAAAATGTTTAATATTTCAAGGGAGTTCCAGCATAGGCAACAAGTATATAACACAAAGCTGGTTGAGAGACAGACACTGGTTCTCAACAGGGAGCAAGTGACTCGCTGGCACCCACATTCCTCAAAGGCCAGGGGACTGGAATCTGTGCCCTGGAAAAATCTAGATAAGGTGGATCAAACTACGATTGTAAAATTTGTAAAATAAAATATAAATAAATGGTTCTGGCAGGATATGGTGGCTCACACCTGTAATCTCAGTACTTTGGGAGGCCAAGGTGGGATGATCGCTTGAGGTGAGGAGTTCGAGACCAGCCTGGCCAACATGGTGAAACCCCGTCTCCACTAAAAATACAAAAATTAGCCAGTCATGGTGGTGCACACCTGTAGTCCCAGCTACTCAGGAGGCTGAGGCAGGAGAATCGCTTGAACCCGGGAAGCAGAGGTTGCAGTGAGCCAAGATCATGCCACTGCACTCCAGCCTGGGCAACAGAGCAAGACTCCATCTAAAAAACAAAAACATGCTGGTTTAAGTCGTTTTTTAAATTTTGTTGTTTTATTTTTGTTTTTGTTTTTTTAAGACAAGGTCTGGCTCTATTGCCCAGGCTGGAGTGCAGTGATACAATCTTGGCTCACTGCAACCTCTGCCTCCCAGATTCAAGTGATCCTCCCACCTCAGCCTCTGGAATAGCCAGGACTACAAGCGTGCACCACCACACCAGGCTAAGTGTATTTTTTGTAGTGTTGGAGTCTCCATATGTTGCCCAGGCTGGCCTCAAACTCGTGAGCTCAACCAATCTGCC